GGTCCCAGCTGTGTCAGAGTTGTGTGTGTGTGTGTGTGTGTGTGTGTGTGTGCACGTGAGGCCCCGGCTGTGTCAGAGCTGTGTGTGTGTGTGTGTGTGTGTGTGTGTGCGCGCGCATGCACGTGAGGCCCCGGCTGTGTCAGAGCTGTGTGTGTGTGTGTGTATGCACGTGAGGCCCCGGCTATGTCAGCTGTGTGTGTGTACCTGAGGTCCCAGCTGTGTCAGTGTGTGGGCACCTTAAGGCTCCTTGGCAGCCTGCCACCTTTCCCCTGGCCTGTTTGGCTGTGTGATTGCTCTGTGACTCGTGTCCGGTCAGTAAGGCTGAAGGGGGAAGACCTGCCCGCTCGGGCCGTGCCGTGTTCCCATGGCCGCCACCCACGCGTGGTCAGGGCCTCGTGTCCTAGTGCTGTGGAGGAGCAGGACTGGGGTGTCCTGTGTGGCTGGAGGCCTCTCTCGGGGGAAACAGGGAGGCCCTTCCTGAGATGAAGGGTTCCCGGGCTCTACACCCCGCTGTCCAGCACATCACCCTGGTGACCAGAGGTTCTCCCTGGAGTCCCGATGCCCCCGGACAGCTGCTGGCCTGCGCGTCCCCAGGGGCTGCAGGTGCAGGGGTTCTATGCTCTGGAGTCTGTCCTCTACGGGGGTGAATGTCTCTCCTCCCGGCTGGGGCTGCGTTCCTGGAGCCCACGCCTTCTCATTGTGCTTGGCACTGAGTAATGAAGGGTGTCTTTTGTTTGTCGACCAGTGGTGGGCCTACAGCTGGCCTCCGTGGGCAGCCCAGGAGTGCAGTGGGGTGCCTGTGTGGTCTGTCCACGCGGATTGCTGCAGTACTGTTTGTGGAGACGTCTTTGCCTAGTGGGTGCTTTGGGTGTGGTTGGATGTAAAGGACGCATTCCAATGGGCTGGCGCTGCCTTTTCCCGGGCAGCACGATGAGAACCGTGGGCGTCGCAGCAAGGCCCAGCAGGGTTAGACTCTCGAAGCAGAACGTGAAGGGTAGAAGCAGTGGGTTTGTCTTCAGAGCTCGGAGATCCAAGTGGGCAGTGCCTGGCATCGGTCAAGAGCCGTCCTTGGCTTCCTGCCTGGAGGCTGCTCCCATTGTGACAGCGGCCTCGGGAACGAGCAGGATTCGCAGTGAGCCCGCTGGGCGCCCTGCATGGTTCCTGGCAGCGCCCTGACTGCACAGCAGGATGCCCTGGGTGTTCCTCTGTGAGGACGGGCTTGTAGCTGCACCCATCCTGAGCTGACCACATGCCTGCTGGTGCAGGAGGCCTGTGCAGCACCGTGGGCCTCTCCTTGCGCGTCACCTCGAGAGGGCCCCTGGTGGCGTCCACCGCTGCTGCCATGCGGTTCTCACGGCCCTTTCCTCCTGCAGAGAGTCAAGAAGGATGTGGACAAGGGCACCCAGCACTCGGACATGTTCCTGCTCAGGCCGGAGGACGGCAATGAAGGTATAGCCCAGTGCAGCCTGTGCCCTCAAGTGTGCTGCCCAGGACTGAAGGCCAGCCGCTAGCCCCTGGTGCCTGGCCCTCTTATCTGCCTGTCGGGGCATAGGGCAGCGTCAGCAGGTGGCCTCTGTGGAAAGCCCAGCCCAGGATGTTAGCCCCACCCAGCCATGTGCAGTGACACCTAGGGTCATCAGGGGCCGCCCAGCCTGGCACACACCCAGGGTCACCAGGGACTGCCCAGCCTGGCACACACCTTCTCCTTAGTGGAGCAGGTCCACCCTGGGTTGCCGAGCCTGGCACACGCTCACTCCTTAGTGGGGCAGGTCCACCCTGGGCTGCCGAGCCTGGCACACGCTCACCCTGGGATCCAGTGAATGTGGGGCTTTCAGATGACAACTGCTGCCCGGAGCAGCCCTGAGGACCGCGGCGCCTCAGCACTTGCTTTGCCGAGGTCGCGGCCCTGTTAGCTGAGGGTCAGGGCAGCAATGGCTGGGGTTTTAAGAAGAGTTCTGGGCTCCCACAGCTGAGCCCTCAGCGTGCAGCCGCCCTGGGCTCCACCAGTTGTGATGTGTGTTGTATTTTTGGGTAAAGACCATGTGTTGAGATGACAGTGAGCGATGTTTTTTGGTGGGGTGGCTTTTCGTATGCCCTTACAGACCCTGAAGTTGCAGGAGCCAAGCCTGGGTATAGCTGTGGGCCTGCCAGGGCCGCTTCTTTGCAGCTGTTTCTTGCTGTGTGTCCTTGCTGGTAGTGGGCTGTGGAGTCAGCATCCCAGGGCTGTTAGGAGATGGGGTGTGCCTGTGGCCCAGGACAGAGCCGGGCAGGCCAGGGCTGCTTGGTGTTCTGTAGCCAGCACTGTGCCTGCTTGGGAAGGGTCTCCACCAGCCAGGACCCCAGGGTGCCTCCTCCAGCAGGGACCTTCCTCCTCTCTGGGTGATTGGGGTGGGGCCATCTCCTGGCGACACGATGTGTTGGGAGCACTTCAGTTCCTGTGGCCAGGAACAGCTGAGTCCCAGCTGGATGTGTCATTCTTGGGTTCCCTGTCTGATACCCTCTGCTTGTTGGGTACATTGTGTGTCAGCAGGCTGTGTTGGTTCAGCCTTTACTTCCATCTGCTAAGTGGAGGGAGGGGAGAGAATCTTCATTCTGCCGGTTCACTTCCCATGTGTCCACAGCAGGCAGGGCTGGGACAGGTCTGGTGTAAGCTCAAGCCTGTCTCGGTCTCCCACAGGCAGCAGGGGTCCAAGCCCTGAGTGTTGGGCGGTGCCTTCCCCATGTAGCAGCTGGAGCCCGGTCAGGCTGAGACTCCACCCCGCTGCTGCCGTGGGGGCTGGGGATGTTCCCCATGCCTCTCCCACCAACTGGTGTTTATGATGATCATTTAAGGGAAAGGCTTTGCCGAGTCTCTGGTCGCACCAGCAGTTGTCTCACAAGCCTGCAGGCTGCACATGCAGGACTGTCACATGGTGGCCTGTACTGAGGAAAAACAGCATGAAGTCCACCTCCCACCTCCTGGGAGGGCTGCCTGGCCGGGACTGGAGCAAGGCAGGGACAGGGAGGGCTGGGCCACACCCAGGGCTGCTGCCTGAGGCCCCAGGACAGCTCTGTGCAGAACTGTGCCCTGGGGATGTATGCCTTGCGGAGGCTCGGTGGGGAGCTGTGCCGGGGCCGTGGGAAGGCACCTGGCAACCTCCCCTGTCTGGCAGGCAAGTGGCTCTGGAGCCGCATCCACCCTTCTGGAGTCAAGCCCAGCCCCAGGTCCGGCTTCTCGGTGGCCGTGGCCCCAAACCAGCAGACACTGCTCTTCGGAGGGGTGTGTGACGAGGAAGAGGAGGAGCGCCTGGAGGGCGACTTCTTCAACGACCTGCACTTCTATGACGCCAACAAGAACCGCTGGTTCGTGGGGCAGCTGAAGGTAGGTCAGCTCTGACGGGCTGCAGCCTTGCCCACATGCACTGAGGGGTGTTCCTCTGATGCCCTCGTCCTCCCCCGGGCTAGTTACTGCCAAGGTTCAAAGCTCGGGCCCTCCCAGCTGCAACCCCTGCACGGGGCTCTCGAGGTGGATGTGGAGCTGGCACCCAGTAGTTGTGGTCCTGGTCCCAGTTCTGGGCTGTATGTCCTGAGACCCATTGGGGTGCTGTCACGGGTTGTTGCAGGCGGTGGCAGCTAAAAGGTTGGGAAGGGTGTGCCAGGGGTTACCTGGTGAGAGCAGGGTGAGCCCCAGGATGGCAGGGTCCGCTCTGCGACGGGGTGGGAGATGGGAAGGCTGCTGGTGGGTTCTGCAGGAGTTCCTGGCAGGGGTTCTCCTGACGCACCTAGAGCACGTGTTTGTCCTGAGTCAGGCCAGGCTGGCCGCCAGGCTTGTCCTGCCAGTGGCAGAGATGCAAGTGGGTACAGCCTTCTGACAGTGCTGGTCAGGCCACAACTCGCGCCTCCCAGCTGATGGCACGACCTTGGTCCGCCCGGGGCCACAGCACCCCCAGTGTCCCTGGCTGCGGACTGTCATTTTCTCAGTCCTCGCTCTCTGGGCTGACCGCTCGCTGCTCCGTGCTTGTTCTGTCAACAGGGCCCCAAGTCGGACAGGAGGAGGCCAAGGCGGGGGAGAAAAGAGGCCCTGGAAGGAGCCTGTGAGCCTGCGCACGGGGGTACCAGCACCCCGCAGCCTCTGGAGGTGGTCAGAGAGCTGGTGGCCGAGGACGGGACTGTGGTCACCATCAAGCAGACGCTTCCGGCCCCAGCTCCGGCGGCACAGCCCCAGGAGGAGGACGAGGACAGTGCTGGGGGGGCCGGTGGCCCTGAGGTTGGGCCCAGCCCACGCTCTCACGCTATGCTGGCCGTGAAGCACGGCATACTCTATCTCTATGGGGGCATGTTTGAGGCTGGTGACCGCCAGGTCACCCTCGGGGACCTGTACTGCCTGGACCTGCACCGGATGGAGGAGTGGAAGGTCCTGGTGGCCCTGGACCCTGGTAAGCAGTGGGGCCACTGTGGAGGGAGGGCATCCACCCCCAGCCCACCCCCGGGCAGGGTAGTGTCGGAAGGCTGTGGGGTGCCCACTGGGGCCTGTGTGGGCTGCCCCCCGGCCAGCAGACTTGGGGTGTGGTATGGAGTATGCCATCTCTGCTCTAAGCCTTGGGACACACAAGTCTGTTTCTTCGCCAACGGTTAAAGCTCTGTCCCCCTTTTGAAAAAGAGATCTGTTTACAAAGAGACAGAGCAAACATCCCTGCAGTGCCCCAGTGGCCGAGCTGGACTCATGTGAAGCCAGCAGCTTTCTTCAGGCCTCCCCCGAGGGTGCAGGGGGCCGGGCACTTGGTCCCGCTCCAGTGTCTCAGGACACACCAGCCGGAGCTCAGTGAGACGTGGAGAGGCTGGGGCTGGAGCTGGCGCTGCAGAGGGAAGCTTTAGCTGCGGCACTGCGCCGCCAGCCCTGGAGTTGGATCTGATGGGAGGGTGGAGCCTCCGAGGCAGAGCTGACCGCTGCCCTGGAAGCCCAAGGGTCTGCTTTGCTTTAAAGACACTCAGGAGTGGCTGGAGGAAACGGACTCAGACGGGGACAGCGAGGAAGCCGAGAGCTCCGAGGACTCAGAGGAGGACAGCGGGGGGCAGGAGGAAGGTGAGTGGCCGATGGACTGGGGCAGCTGGGGCAGCAGACGGCCAGAGCCCGGCCAGCGCCGCCCTGGCTTGCTCCCTGCTGACAGTGAGAGGGTTTCTGTCTTCACTGCAGTTGTTTTTTAAAGAACAATTTATTCGAAGGTGGAGTGACAGGGAAAGACAGACAAAGATTTTCTATCTACTGGTTCACTTCCCAAATGCTCCCCACTGGCAGTGCTGGGCCAGCCTGAAGCCAGGAGCCAGGAGCACCATCTGGGTAGCCCACGGAGTGGCAGTGCGCCAGGTGCCCGGGCTGGCCTCTGCCGCCTGCCAGGTGCCGAGTGGCCGGGAGCCGGACCCGCAACAGGGGCGGCTGGCTGGTGCACTGAGCTACATCCATACCAGGGCTGAGTGTTTAGGTTTGTAGTTGGTTACCCTTTATTTTTATTTGAAAGGCAGATTTACTGAGAGCAAAAGGAACAGATCTTGCATCTGCTGGTTCATTTCTCACATGGCTGCAACTGTCAGAGCTGAGGCAGTCTGGAGCCAGGAGCTAGGAGCTTCTTCCAGGTCTCCCAGGCAGGCACAGGGCCCAAGGATTGCGCCACAAGCAGGGGGCTGCGTCAGAAGTGCAGCAGCCAGGACTCAGACCAGCACCCATAGGAGAGGCTGCGTTTAGGCCCTTGATTTACCTTACCTGAAGGCCAGAGTGTGCCAGAGATGTTCCATCTGTGGCCTCAGGTGCCAGGTGCAGCCAGGGCTGGGCCCAAGAGGTAGTAACTAAAGCCAGGTCTTGGCTGGAGGAGCTGGAGGCGAAGCGGGGAGCTGGGGCTCTGGTGGCGGGCTGTGCCTGTCGTAGGTGCCTCGTCCTGCACGGGGTCTCCGCTCATAGCGCTTCTTTCTCCATCCATGAGAAGAGCCCCAGCACACGGAGCTGGCGCCAGAGAGAGAGCACGCACAGCACGGGGCCCGGCCCCCAGCGCCCTGCCCAGGACTCGGCACTGCCAGGTGAAGGCCACCAGTGAGCAGCGGCGGCAGAGCAGCGTGGCGGCAGGTTGCCGGGCTGTCCCTGGATCCCCTTCCTTTCCTCTGGCCGTGCGCGGCTCGCGTGACCCTGCTGTAATAAAAGCCGGCTTCCTGGGCCTCGTGGGTTCTTCCTGCTGCAGGTTCTGATGAACCCCCTGCTTGTTAAGCAGGATGTGGCTGCTGTGATGCCGGAAGTCACCACAGCCAGCAAGGGTCCACCACATTGCTGGTCTGAGTTCTCTGTAAGGGAAGTCCCCCTCTGCCTGCCGGCCTCTGCTGTGGGTCTGCTCCGTGGGTCTCAGGACATTCCCCTGTCCCTGGTAGGCTTTTGGGAATGTGCCCTGCAGGTACGCGGCGGCTGTTGGCAGAAGGCACTAGGTGGGAGGGAAGGCAAGGCAGCGTTCATCTCCCTGCCAGCCCTCACGCGCTGGCTTTCCTTCGCCCGAGTGAGCCAGAAGTGGGTTTCCAGTCCCTGCATGGTAAGATCTTAAATGACAGAGTTCTTACTCCTCTGTCAAGCATCACCGTCTTGGTCCATCCCCGTCCTTTCAGACTGTGGTGTCTCCCTCTGGGCCCACCAGGCTTGAGACACAGGGGCGAGTGGAGCCTCTTCATTCCAGAGCCACCTCTGCCTGACCCTCCTGGGCGTAGAGAGGGGCCTAGGGCAAGGGCCTTTGGGGCCCCCCAGTCCTGAGAGGCATGCGTTGTTCTGTGCCCCAAAAGGCGCTCTGACGCAGCAAGGCTGCAGGTGCAGTGGGTGGCTGCAGAGAACTTCTCTTGATGGAAATGCCCTGTGGCCCCAGCCGTGGGTTCTGCTCGGCCTTGAGGTCCGGTTTGTAGCAGGAGGCTGGCCAAGGCTGGTGGGGATTAACTGCGCAAGCTCCCCGCTAGAGGACTGCCTCTGCGGAGGGGGTGCTGCCTGCGTGTGGCCTGCGTAGCTGGTGAGGCCGGGGACGTGTGCTGGACGTGTGCTGGGCGTGCTGGCCCAGGTGGGCCGACAATGAGTGAGGTGGCCATGTGTGGGTCTGCAGGCCGCACGGCTGCCCTGGTGCAGTGAGATGCTCCTGGGGGTGAAGGCTGGGTACTGTCCACCTCACCCCTGCACACTGGCCCAGGGGCCCCATCCCCAGAACTCCCCTGCCCTGCTTGTTTGTGGCATCACTGGGCTGAGTTGGTGTGAGGGCTGGCAGAGCCTTGCGCTTCTTGTGCTGGAGCTGAACTGAACAAAAACCAGGAAAACCACTGCTCAATGTTTGTTAGGATGTGTTTATTTTTATTTGAAAGAGTTGGGGAGAGAGGGAGAAAAAGAGGTTTTCTGTCCACTGACTCACTCCCCAAATGGCTGCAGTGGCTTCTTTCAGGTCTCCCATTGAGTGCAGGGTCCCAAGGCTTTGGGCCGTCCTCTGCTGCTTTCCCAGGCCACAAGCAGGGAGCTGGATGGGAAGTGGAGCAGCCAGGACACGGACTTTGGCCCCTGGGGCATTCGGCACCAAAGGTGGTCGTTTAAATCCTGCCCTGGGTGCTGGCGTTGCTGTGATTTTGACAGGTGTTGGCTGTTGAGGTAGAGTCAGCGAGACATGTCCTGGCCGACCACTGGGCTGGGCAGGACAAGACTCACTGTGGTGGGCTTCCTGGGCCCAACAGGAGCTGGTACAGCTCAGGCAGGCAGGCAGAAGCCAGTCTCGAGTTGTGGTGTGGCAGTAGGGAAGTGACCCCTGCTGAGGACCAGGGGCATGTTGATCGGCCATTTTCAACTGGACTGCACCTCCTGGAGAACAGGCTAGGGTCTGCCGCTTTCCGGTCAGGTCCCAGTGGCCGGGGGGGAGCACGGCGGGCGGGAGCTGGTGCAGTGAGGGTCCCAGTGGCAGGCAGGGAGGTCTGTGGGTGGGAGCTGGTGCTGTGAGGGTCCCAGTGGCTGGTGGGGAGCACGGCGGGCGGGAGCTGGTGCTGTGAAGGTCCCAGTGGCCGGGGGGGAGCACGGCGGGCGGGAGCTGGTGCAGTGAGGGTCCCAGTGGCCGGTGGGGAGCACGGCGGGCAGGAGCTGGTGCAGTGAGGGTCCCGATGGCAGGCGGGGAGGTCTGTGGGCGGCAGCCAGCACTGAATTGTGAGGGTCTCTCTGGTGTGCAGGGGCTTAGGCAGCGTTGGGGAACCCTGGTGCTTAGGCTGAGGCCACTCGAACCCCCTGGACACTTGCCTTCAATGCTTGCGGACTCTGACTGGCTCCAGGTTGGCAGGGGCTTGGTGAGTGCTATGGCTCAGGGGACTGACAGGCAGGAGGAAGCCAAGCAGGATGGGCCATAAGGACCTCCCGCAAGACCCTCACCAGAATGGGACCCCGCTACCCCTTAGGTCCTGTACCTGCTCCCCGGAGGCACAGGCCACAGCTGTGCCATCTGCTGCCAGCATGTGGCAAAAGCTGGCTGGTGTGCGGGCTGTGTCCTCAGGTCCCTGTGGGTCTCGTGTGGTGGAGACCCCAGCTCCTGAAGAAGCAAGTGTACTCTCCGGCTCCTGGGGTGATGGGAGGAGGGACTGGCAGCAAAGACCCACCTACAGTGGCTGTGAGCACACTACCCACGGCTTCTGGTGGTGGCGCGGGGCGGGGCTGTTCTTCAGCGCCACTGTGGCCCTGCCGTCCCATAGTGACAGAGTTACAGCCATTGCCAGCTCAATGTCTTTGCTTACACATTGGTCAGTGACCAATGTGTAAGCAAAGAAGGCCAGCGTGGCTTGTCTCCCTTCTCAGAACACGGTCAGCATGTTGGTATGCGGGCCCAGCACCCAGAGATCAGCTGGAGAGCAATTCAGGCATAGAACCATGACAGACACCAGGTCAGGGCTTCCTGTCCAGTCAGGGCTCCGGGCTCCCGGCCGTGCTGGCCACGGCAGTGGGCGGCTCATGGGCAGGGCACAGGCCTGGGAGGCCATTGGTGACAAGGGGCTGGGCAGTGTCGGTGCTGGCGGCTGTGGACTAAGCTGGAGGGCGGTGGTGTAACATGGGGCTCCCCTGGATGAGGAAGCAGGCAGGGGAAGGGATGGGTGTCCAGCCCAGACCCATCTCGCCTCTGCCTGACTTCCTGGGTTGGGTTTCAGCCCTTAGCACAGTGGTGGTTTGGCAGGCAGAGCTGACGGGGCAGGAGTGCCAGCTGGAGCTGGAGTCTGCGTGTGGTGAAGCACCTGTGTGTCCTGGCGTGATGGGGTTGACTGGAGAAGTGAGGTCACCCTGCCGGCAGGCTGGTGACATCTGTCCCTGGCTGAAGCAGCTATGCCTGGCACAGGCAGTGGCCAAGCCCCCAAGGACTGCCTCCTTCCCTGGGGCTGAGCACCTCCGTCTGCTCCTGGGGTCCCTGGTTCTGGCAAGGGGGTGCCAGGGCCTGAGTGTGGGACCAGCTGATGCACTCAAGCCCAGCCACACTGCACCAGCCTACCAGGTGCCATGGATGGTCGAGGCGTTGCCTGTGGGGACACATGTCTGGAGGCTTGTGGGAGGTCAACCATCAGCGTGGCAGGGCAGGGCTCCAAGTACCCTCAGACACTCCTCTTTGTTGACTGGTGCTGCCTTGGACCCCCCCCCCCGGGCCGGCAGGACCTCCTCTGCTCCATGCCCTGAGGTGAGTGTGGGGCCCTGTCCCTGGTGGGCTTGGGGCCAGAGGCGCATAGCTGCCATGGCCCTCCCACAGGTGAGCTCAGTGGGCAGGCCCTTCTTGCAGGGCTCTGGGGCCAGAGCCGGGGAGCAGATGTTGCTCCAGGAGTCCCATCTGCCTGTGTGCCTGGCCAGGCCAGGGTTCTGGGAGGCTAGAGGGCCAGCCTGTCTGCAGAGTTCCCAGCTCAGTCCCCTGGTATGCGGGGCGCTGTGCGCTCCCTCCCCCAGCAGTGGGCGTGTGGGCCTGGATGCTTCCGGAGCGGCAGATGGATGACAGAACACGCACCCCAGTGCGGATGGTTCTCGGCCTCAAAGAGCAGGCATCTTTATTTGGTTCACTCCAGTCTGTAGCAACCACTCCATATTAAAAAAGGAAGGCAAGGATGTACAAAAAGGTGCAAGGTCCGTTAGAAAGCAGCGTCTCCCCCACACCCACCCAGGCCCAGCCGCCGGGAGCAGGGAGTGGACGGGGTTGGAAAACAGTCAAACGGGAGGCAGCCGGAACATGCTCTAGTCCTCCGTTTATTTCTGGTTAAAAATATAGCAATCCAGTGCAGTGTAGGAAAGAGATCTGCTCGAAAGGCAGACACAGCTGGACACAAGCAAAGCAAGGCAGAGTCCGCAGGTGGGCGGGGCCCAGCCCTGCGTGGCCAGGCTCTGGAGGGCTCCCCAACGGACACCCCTCGTCCTCTCGGCGGCTGGAGGGGCACCCCTGGCAGAGAAGGCAGAGACACGCGGAACCTGTTTGTTGGACGGAAACAAGGTACGTGGTACGGCGGGGAGGGCTCGGGATGGGCTCGGGACGCAGTCACGCTCCCGTCCTGGGGCCTGCCCGTTGCGCAGCAGGGAGGGACAGTGCATGTCTGGGGGGCCGAGGCAGGCACAGTTCGAACAAGTGAGAACCCTGCAGGTCGGGGACCGGCCACCCTGGGGCGGGCGGCGGGGCGGGGCTGATGACGCGGTGGGCGGCGGGGACCCAGGGCTTTGCTTAAGACTCGGTGGGGAGGCAGTGCCGAGCAGAGGGGGTCGTCTGTCCTGTGTGGAAGAGGGGAGGTGGCGGTTCCTCCCTCGTCCCAGGCCTGGGCTGCTGCCTGCGGGGCCGGGACATCCGGTTCCCCCGCCTCACACCCGCATCAGGAAGAGCAAAGGCCAGGGCCCCTCGCCAGGTGCTGCCCCCCGCCCTGCCACGCAGTGCCGTGTTACACAGCCACAATCCGCATGTGTCACCCGGAAGGAAAGGCAAACTGTGGTACCCAGGCTTGTCCTCGCAGACGCGGGCCGTCCCTGGCTGTCCGTGTCCGTCGGGCTGACAGCGGGTGACCTGCCACGGCCGTCCCATCAGATGAAGAAGTTGATGAACAGGATGGCAACTCCAATGTTGAGCAAGATCACCATGGCCACCAGGACGGGCGCCGATCCCTGAAACGACAGAGACGGAGGTGACTGCCTGCTGGGTGCTGGCGGCCCCACACCAGGCAGCCTCCTGGGGAGGAGGTGGGCATGACCCCTGGGGGTCTTCCAGCAGCCTCCACAGTGCCAGCACCTCCTGGTTGGCCCTGGGTCTCCCCACTGCAGGTCTCACCTTGACCCAGGCTGCCCCAGCAGGCAGAGGCACTGGGGCTCCCCTCCTGCATCGGTGCCCCCTGCGCCCTGTCCCACGGGGGGATACTGAGTAGAAAAGTTGCTGCCAGTTGAACAGCTGACCAGGGCTGCTCTTAAAACACTGCTGTGAAACCTCCTGGCCCGCAGGCATTGGGGGACACCTCCCACCCCGAGCCTGGCTCCTCTGCAGAGTTCAGACCCTGTTGGACCGGTGCCTACCTCTTCCCCCTCCCCCAAACTGGGTCACTGTGGTGTCGGTGCTCTCAGCTTGCAGCCTGGGGCCCTGGGCCACCCATCCCCACAGGAAGGGCCACAGCTCCCTGAGAGCTGGAGAAGCATGTGGTGGTCCTGTGGCTCCCCACTTCACACCCAGGAAGTGGGTGCATGCACTCCAACACTACTGGAGACAGCCAGCCAGGCAGCTCCAGTTGTGGACACTGGTCCCAATGGGCACACTGCCCAGCTCTGCATAGCACCAATGCTCCTGGTGACCTGGGCTGAAGGTGGGATGCCTCCTCCAGGACTGCCCCTTGACCAAGAGCCCTGTAGCGTAGGTACACCAACAATGGGGAGGTCCTAGCTCCTAGGGTCAGCTGCCCCACCAGCTCAGGGCCCTGAGACACCCATTGGGGGGCTGTGTTCCCTCGACACTGTCTCCCCAGCCCCACCAGCTGCATGTCCAGTGTGGCGCTAGCGAGCACACGGCACAGTTGCCCTGGGCTGATCAGGCCTGCAGGTCTCCACCAGCAAGACGCCCCCCCCCCCCCCCCCGCTTTAGCAGACAAACCCTGCCCAGGCCCCCAAGGCTCCCTGGGCCGATCAGGCCTGCAGGTCTCCACCAGCAAGACGCCCCCGCCCTGCTTCAGCAGACAAACCCTGCCCAGGCCTCCAAGGCTCCCTGGGCCGATCAGGCCTGCAGGTCTCCACCAGCAAGACGCCCCCGCCCTGCTTCAGCGGACTGACCCTGCCCAGGCCTCCAAGGCTCCCTGGGCCCGTCCACTGGGGGAGGAGGGGCACTAGGGACACGCCACAGCACCAAGGTGTGCCCACTGCTGCTGGGAGCATGGCTGCGGCCACCAAGCCCAGGCCTCGCCCCCAGTGGCCCCCAGCGTGTGAGGCCTTTTCCCACAGGAAGCAGGGACCTTGTGTCCACCTGCATACAGGACATAGACGGAGGGAAGCAGGCCAGGGGGCCCAGGCCCTGAGGAGAGGGCTGCTTTGCACTGGCCAGCTGCCGGGCAGGCTACCTCCAGCACCATGTGCCCCGTCCCAGGACCCCACACACTCACACCTCCATGACTGCCCCACTCTGCTACTGGGACACCGTCCTTATGCCCAGTGGGGCCCAGGGTCCCAGCCACTGTGTCACAGGAGGAAGTGAATGACAGCAAGGCCCTTACATCCCAGGACCTGCCACTGCCTGGCCAGCTGCCCGGTCGCATGGGGTCCCGTGAGGCCATAGGAACCACGCTGGGTCCCCGGCACCTCTGCTCCGGGACATCGGCTTGAGGTTTGTCAGTGTGGAGAGCAAGCAGCTGTGCACTGGACGCCCTGACCCTGTCCCTCTGGCCACCCTGAGCCTGGCTGGGTGCTCTCGGCAATGCCCAGTCTCACCCTAGGGTAAGGAGGGACCCCCTGCATCCCCTACATGGCCCACAGGTCAAGAATGGAGCTCGTCCCTGGCTCACCTGGGCCCCAGCTGCCAGTGTGGCTTAGCTAAATATAGAAGCTGCTCCCGCACCTGCCTGGCCGCCCGGCTGGCAGCTCCTGAAATAGCTCCACGTGCACCACAGGCCACCGTGGCCAGCAGTGCAAAGCTGCAGGTGCAGGCTGGCCACTGACCATGGGGTTGAGCCCCGTGGTACCCTGACTTCAGGCAGGTACACCTACTGCCAGCAGGTTAGAACCATCGGGTCCCTTCCGGGCTCTCATGTCCCTGGAGGTGACCATGAGCTCCTGACCAGGAATCACTGGGGTAGCAGGGGTCTCTGGCTTTCCCCCAGAGGACATCAGGAGCCCCCACCAACCCCTGGCATGGGGGGATGCAAACCGCCCCCGAGAGCAGACCCCCCAAGAGCCCAGCACCCGGCAGCTCACCGTGCTGGGCTTCAACTCGTCCCCGGTGTCCTCGTCAGACTCCAGCGCCACAGGCAGGGACTTCTGGGGTGGGGAGAAGCTGAGGTCCCAGCGCAGCAGCCGGGGCTCAGCCCCGTCCCCCAGCCGCAGGCTCTCCAGCTTCTGCACGGCTGGCTCGGCCGAGGAGGCCGGCCTCAAGTTCTCCTTGTTGGAGGCCCCAGGCCTGAGTCTCTGCACCCCGAAGGCCCGGTCCTCGGGCCGGCCCCCACGTCTCTTCTGGGGGTGCGCCTCTGCGTAGGCGTGCATCCTCAACAGCGGCTTCATCTCCAGCTTGTAGTTGCTCAGCTGCTCCTCGTCCCGCTCTGCCAGCTTGCCGCCCCCAGAGCCAGGGGTGCCAGCCCGGTGGTGATGGGAAGTCCATGTGATCGGGGGAGACTCCGTCCGCCGCTCCCGGGGCTTGGGGTTGTTCCCGGGCTGCCTGTGGCCCGATCCTCGGGCGCGCAGGTCCTCGGGGGGCTGGCCACTGCGGAGCGCACCGCTGCGCACGCCCCGGGTGCCCCCACGGGCCGTGTCCCCTCCCCGGCCCTCCAGCAGCATCTGGATGTCACCGCCCCGCTCCTCATCCACAGACAACTGCCGAGAGAAGTGGGCGACCTTGTTCCTGGAGGCGGGGGCGGGCGGCGGGGTGGCGGCCGGGCTGGCGGGGAGGCTCTGCAGAGGACTGTCATCGGGGGTCAGGTCAGACGGGGTGGTGCCCTTGCGGTACAGCTCCGGGCTCTCCTGTGGCAGCGGCGCCCCGGCTGACAGCACCTCGATGTCGTCACAGGACAGCTGATGCTTCGGCCGCTGGTACTCTAGCCCTGGAAGGGACAACACGGGGTGGGGGTGGGGCTGCCACTGGGCTCCAGGCCTCCCCATCCCACGAGCTGTGGGCAGAGGGGCAGTCCCACGCAGGAATTCTGTCGGAGACAACCGCTGCCAGCCACCCGGCCACAGCAGGACACGGCCACCATGGGGGAGGCCAGGATTTGCGTGTTCCAGCCAGGCTCGGCCCAAGCATAGTGTCCACATGGCTCAGCCATCCTGTCCCACCTTGGGGTTGTGACATGGGGCTCAGGTGAGCAGAGCTGGGCTGCACCCCCGCTGTGCGGCTCAGGTGAGCAGAGCTGGGCTGCACCCCTGCCATGCGGCTCAGGGGAGCAGTCAGGCCTTCCAGGTCCTCACCCATGTTGGGGCACAGTGGGGGTGGTCAGGTGCCTGCTGCAGCTCTGGGCCCACTGCACTCTTACACTTGGGTCCCGGGGGCCAGGCAGGTGGCCCCAGAACCTCCCTCGTGGCAGCACAGGTCACGAGCTCCAGGACATGGGTGGGTACCAGGCTGTGTGAACACAGCCCGAAGCTGCCAGCAGCCCCACAGCCCGGTCTCCATAGCCCAGCCTGGGGACCGGTGCCTCAGAGGGAGAGCAATCCGAGACAGCTGTCCAGCCCACGAGGCCCTGGCTGGGCAAGGCACAACTGCTGCGGCGGTGCAGGCTCCCCAGACTCCAGTGGCCAGAGAGCGCTGTGCTGCAGCCCATGCAGAGGGGAAAGGGAGGGGCAGGCCCTGGGCAGGGGGCTCCCTCCTAGCAAGGCCAGGGACAGCAGGACTGTCCACATGCGTGTCAGCAGTGCCAGCAGCTGCCCAGTCCCCTCAGGCCCCTGCCACGCCCCACAGCTGGCAGCCCAGACTCACCATTTTCCCTGTGCTGGAAGGAGGGGGAGAACTCTTTGGCAGTGATCCTGGCGATCCGGGCTTCCTCCTGGGCTTTGTGGGCTGCAGTGAGGGCTGCCTCGGCCTTGGCCCGCGAGTGGGAGGTCCTGGGGGAGACGAGGAGGCGCTGTGAGGCCGGCAGCCCCTCGCCTGCGTGTCCATCTAGTCTCCACACATCCCTCTGTCAGCAGCCAACAGCTTCATGTGTGCCTGGAGCTCAGGCCTGGGCAGGTGCCACCCAGCCCGTGTGCCCAGCTGCTTTGCCCTGACCCAGACAAGGCAGGAGACGCTGAGTCATGCATTTGCCCAAGGGCCCACATGGCAGCTACAGCTGAACCAGCTGCCTTTGTTGCTGCTGAGCCGTACCTGGCCCTGGCAAGTGCTGCTGCGCACGACGGGATGTGAGCCACCTGGGTGCTCTCAGTGACCCGGAGCAAGGCACCCAGGACAGGGACCGCCGCCTCCTCATGAGCCTCACTGAATTCAGACACCCCCAGGAGGCTCCTGCCTCCAATCCTGGGGCCCATGGCAGCGGCTCCTGGCCCAGCGGGGGGTGGGGAGCACTGATAGGCCCCAGGAAGCCCTGACAGGGCCTTGGCAGGCCTGTGCCCCCCACCACACCCTCATCCCAGCACACAGCATGGGGTCTGACCTAGGTGGCCCCAGTGGGCAAATGGCCACTCCCTGGGTCCAGGTGCACAGTGCTCCTGTCGAGCTGGGGAGATGTGGGCTGATGCTCTGCCTCTTCTGAGCTCCCCAGAGGCCAAGGTGAGCAGGGGACCCAACAGCGGGTCCGTAATGTACAGTGAACAAATGCAAAGCCCAGGCGATCGTGGACGTGCAGGGGCAGCTTGCGGAGAAAGTTCTAGGAGCAAAAGCAGGTGACGTCTCGCACTTCCAGCATCAGGCTCCTGCAGCAGCCCGAGAACAGCCAGCAGCTGCAAGAGCCTGCACCCCTGGGAAGCTGCTGCATGGACACCCGGCGGGCCCAGCCCTGTGGGGTGTCAAGAGCCTGCACCCCTTGGGAAGCTGCCGTGTGGACACTTGGCAGGCCCAGCCCTGTGGGGTGTCAAGAGCCTGCACCCCTTGGGAAGCTGCCGCGTGGACACCCGGCGGGCCCAGCCCTGTGGGGTGTCAAGAGCCTGCACCCCTGGGAAACTGCCACGTGGACACCCGGCGGGCCCAGCCCTGTGGGGTGTCAAGAGCCATGGCAGCAACTGCTCCTGGGAAATCCCTAGCTTTCCCAGCAGCCTACAGGCACTGCCCTGAAAGCCGCCCAGCTCAGGGCACCCCATCACCCCACCAGGCTCTTGGCACTGGTTGTATTTGATTGGCAGGACTGGGCAGCACCCGAGAGCCTGCATATTTAGCAAGTTCCTGGGGAGGAGAGGGGGGTGGGTCTGCCCACACCTGCTGACAGTCACCTCTCCTCACGGGAAAGCCTGCAGCCCAGCCCCTCTCCTTGCTGGCTGTCCTCCTGGAGGAGGCAGGGCCGGCCAGGAGTCCACACATGCAGCAGGCAGAGGGTGCTGTGTGGTGCTGAGCCTCATGGGCCTCATGGGCTCTGGGACGAGATTAGCTGAGAAGCCAGCCAGGCCAGGCTTGCAGACCCTGCGTCCTGCCAGCAAGAACCAGCATGGACCCCAGAGCATGCACAGCAACCCGGGGCCTGTGGGGTGCGGAGGGAATGCGTGGGGTGGGGGCAGAGGGTAGGCACCTGCCTTGAAGGGGTGGGAGTGGTGGCAGAAGTGACTGAACCTAGCTAGGCCTGCACTAGCCAGAGCCGGGAGCGGAGCCATGGGCCTCAGCCCCGGGTCTCACGTGTCCTCGCACACACCCGTGTTGGCAATGAGCGTGGCGCTCCCGAGAGCACGTACGCCCTCTGCTGCCTTCGGCCAGCACCGACTCTCTCCCACCTGTGCACCCCAGGTGTCTGCCAACACGCCACACCCAAGGATTCCAGAAAGTTTCCGGAGAACACACACCAGGGAAAAGCCGTGTGTGGATCCCAAGCAGCAGCTGAAGTCAGCTCGTCTCGGAATGCCACCATCCGTGGGCTTGGGGAAGCCCCACCACAAGGTCTGCTGGTGCTGCTGCTAGCGTCTGGCACCGTGGGTTATGACCAGCCGGGGCGTGGGGGTCACATGCCCACCCCTGGAGTGTTCGATGAGTAAATAGGCCTTTGCTATGTGTCGCATGTACCTTTTCCGTCCCACGGAAGTGGGGAGTGGGTAAAGCCAAAGCCTGCAGCACCGTGATCCCATATGGTCACTGGTTCAAGTCCCGGCAGCCCCACTTCCCATCCAGCTCCCTGCCTGTGGCCTGGGAAACAGTTGAGGACGGCCCAAGGCCTTGGGACCCTGCACCCGCATGGGAGACCTGGAAGAGCTCCTGGCTCCTGGCTTCGGATCGGCACAGCTCCCCTGCTGGGGCCAGCACCTGCTTCTGGGTCTACTGGCCTGCAAGTTGTGGAACACAGATGCTATTGCACAAACCACAAAGTCTGTGGCTATTTGCCAGTCTCTGGGAAACAGAGAATCAGCAACTGTGACAGCAGCCTACAGTGCTGGCCGCCAGCTACGATGGTGGCCACGGCCGACAGCTCAGGGATGGAGGGCCAGGGCACGCGCCACCCCTGAGAGCCACAGGACACAGGGCCACCTGCTGGGGACTACTTCCAGCAGGGGCCACAGAGCAGGCTGGGACCCCGACACCTGACTGAGTTGTGTCCTGTGGAGCCTTGTGTCCTTCAAGGTGGACAGGCACACTGCACCTGGCCTCGAGGAGGGTGCTGGCTCGGGCCCAAGCCATCTGGCCAGCTGAGTCCTTTTAATGTGACCTGTGCCAGCAGTCATGATCACTTGGAAGGTAAAACTGCAGAACCCAAACAGGAGGTTCCCATTTTACAGGCAGGAAAGCTGAGGCCAGCAGGGAGGGCTCAGAGCATCAGGGAACTCGGTGCCCAGGTGGGGGTCCCACAGCCCTGGAGCAGCGCGGTCCTCAGGGAGAAGCCTGGCAGGGCCTGAGGACCTCTGCACTTCGATGCCCCGCTCCAAGCCCCGAGGCCAGCTAGCTCCAGATGCCCCCACAGCCGGACCGCTCAGCAGTGACGGAGAACCTTGTCAGTAGGTGGCATGTGACCAGGGGCCACGTCTGGATGCCCCTAGGCCTGGGCTACGGGTGGCTGGCTCCCACAGGATGGGTGGCCAGAAGGCTTTGATTTGGGGGAGGCCCCCCAGGGAGAGCTGGCAGCACCTACCCCCAAGGACGCCACAGTAAACAGAGACGCAGGTCCCTGCCCCACGCAGGGCACTCTGCAGGCCTGGGCATGCCGGCTGCAGCCCAGCCAGGCCAGACACACACACATGTAAACGGAGGCTCAAAAAGGTAGAGGCTTTGTGGGGTCCCATGGTTCTCCCTGGAGACTGCCTGGCATGGTCCTGAGAAAGTTCTCGTAACAGAGACAGGGGGTGGGGACATAGAGGCGGCTCTGTCACCTGCCACGCCTGGCTCCCAGAGGGGTCAGGGTGAGGGCTTCCCAGGGCAGGTCACCTCTTCCTGCCACACCCGAGGATGGGGACAGCGCCTCGCCCCTCCTTCCTCGGGCCTCCATAGCCGGCAGAGGAGACGTGGCCTCACCTAGGCCCTTGCTACCTTTGATCAGTCCCTCTGCAAGAGAGCCTGGGAGGGAGGGAGCAGGCATGAGGCCGTGCTGTCCCCTGCAGCTACCGCCAGCAATGACCCCTGGAACACAGACCCCAGCCATGCCCCGGCCCCTGGCTGCACCAGGTCAGAGCCAGGTTCCCCATTGGCATACCCAAACTCTTACCCCTGCAGGGTCCCAGGGCACACGTTCCAGGGAACAGAACTGGACATGGAGGTGGCACTCGAACCCAAGCCCTCTCATGCAGGATGTGGCACGCCCAGTGACAGATGACAGGCCAAATCAGGACCCCAAGCATAGGCCTAGGGCCCTCCCGGCCCACAAGGCCTCCTGGAAGAGTGCCATTCGTAAGGACGACTTCACTCCGCCCACAGCTCGGAGGGGACCCTGACCACGTGCACCTGAGGAGGCCACTGCTCAGCTCCTCGCCAGCCCCCTGCCCCGTCCATGCCCTTGACTGGGTTGGCAGAAGCTCAGAGGCGGGGGTACAACATGCCCTCACCCAGCCCTGCCCCAAGTCTGCCAGGTCCACTAGGCCATCGGGAACTTGGGGGTGGGGACACGGGTTCCTGGGCGCAGTGAGACGGAGCCTGGGGGTGGGGCCGACCACCTGCTGCCTCCAAGCCCCACAGACCTCGGGGGCACCCACCGGGGACTTGAGGGACTCTCAACCCAACTCCCACAGGGTCCCGAGTCGAGCCCTCCTCGCAGGGGACGTGGGTCCTCGTCGGCTCTCCAGGTCCAGGCTGCCTGGCCGCAGGACGCCGCAGTCCCGCCCACACTCACAGCCACCCCTTATGAGGCTGCTGCTCTGCAGGGACGCACAAGCCATGCACTGCCTCCCTCTCAGGCAGGGGTCAGCCTGGGCTTGGCAGGCCCTCGTGGCCACAGCCACTGCCCTCAGCCTCCAGTGGAGAGTGGGCCTGGGCAGTCACCTGCCAGCTGCGCTGAGGACAGGGCCACAATCTGAGCCTGCGGGGGGGGGGGGGGGGGGGGTGGTGGCGGTGGTGTGTGTGTGTGTGTGTGGTATTGGTGTGTGTGAGTGGGTATGTATGTGTGGGTGGTTGGTGTTGGTGTGTGTGTGGGTGGGTGGGTGGGTATGTGTGTGGGGGGGGTATGTGTGCATGGGTGGTTGGTGTTGGTATGTGTGTGGGGGTGGGTGGTGTGTGTGTGGGGGGGTGTTCTGTGGGTGTGTGTGGGGGTGGTGTTGGTGTGTGGTGGTGTTGGTGTGTGTGTGGGTGGTATTGTGTGGGTGTGTGGTGTTGGTGTGTGTGTGTGTATATGGGTGTGTGTGTGTATTTTCCCATATTCTGAACCCGCAGAGAAGAAGCAGGAAACAGCTCCCCTTCTGCCAGGCCTGGCTGCCCAGCTGCCCGGCTGTGAGCTGGCTCAGGACACAGGGCACTCCAGGGACCAGGAGGCCAGGCCCCACCTGTGAGTCTGTGCCCGGCACGGGTCTAAGCAGGCGGGGTGAGGTGGGCGACAGTGGCACTGACGTGGGCTCCAGCCCCATGTGCTAGGCCTTGGGGGGCTCAACAACCTGCCCGGGGCTCGCCCAGCTGGATGAGGGTCCCGGGATCTCAGAGCAGGTGCACAGGAAGGGCCTGGTGGGCCTTCTCCCAGGTTCACGTACACGGCCCTGCTGCTGACTGGCAGACCTGTGGGGGGGGGGGGAACAGGCGTGGCCCCACCCCCTGTGGGCCATGGGGCCACAGGTGGGCAGCAGTGGTGGACGGCAAGGCCTGCCTCACCAAGCAGTGGGGGCCTGCAAGACGGGACGGGGCCCTGTGGTGACCACACGGAAGGCAGGCCGGGGGTCCTGTCGGCCATTTCACATGCACACACTGGCAAGAGGCCACCAGTGGACAGAGGGAACCTTCCCCAAACGCAACATGAATGTCTGGGTCACAGTGTGGCGTGGCCACCACCTTCTGGAACAAGCCATGCACCTGAGACTAACTCTAAGCCCTGGGAGCACCTGCTCACTTCCTGCCTGGACAACCCCAGCCAGGGCACGGGAGGGGGCCGACGGCAGGGGGTGGGCTCAAGGCCTCAGGAGCAGCTCTGTTCCCTGTTGGCTTCTCGCGGTGGTCTCCAGCCCCTTCAACACCGCAGACACCGAGAGCGACCGGTTCCCACCCCCAACCACAGCCCCCAGCTGACCAAAGGGTCAAATGTCACTGACACAAACCACGACAATGTGAGAGCGACAGGTCCTGAGGGCTGGGCTGCCCCGAGTGGGGACACGGACCCACCAGGGGCTCCATGGCACCCCTGCCCCGGGGTCCCAGGTTCTCAGAAGGACCGGGAGCATCTCCCCGCAGGGCAGCCTGCCCAGCCTAGGACAAAAGCAGCCTCTGTCCTCCTAGAGATGCCTGGAAAGCCACGTGGCACCCCTCATGGCCAGCTGGGCCAGCAGGGCCTTGCCAGCACTTGGGGTGCGAGCTGCCCACCCTCGCCCTTAGCCAGGCCGGTGCCCAGACAGCACAAGGGCCAGCGCCCACCGGGCAGGCAGGGCGCGGCAGGTCCCGGGAGCCCCTCAGCTCTGCCCTTTGGACCCGGGCCTCCTACCTGGAAGCAGCGATCTCGGCCTTCTGCCTGGCGATGGTGGCGGCGCGCTCGGCGGCCTCCACGGCCCGGTCCACCTTCTCGCGGGTCTTGCTGGCGCGCAGGGGCAGCAGGTTCTTGCGCTTGCCGCTCACCAGCACGTTCTGCTTGTACTTGCCCTCCTCTTTGCTGCCGTCGGGGAAGGTCATGCAGCCGTAGCCGTGCCGCCGGTTGCCGGCCCACTCGCCCTCGTACTTGAGCCCGTCCGAGCGCTGGCTGATGCCGAATCCCGAGCGCCGGTCGCTCTTCCACTCGCCGGCATAAGTCTCGGTGGTGGTGGCGTCGATGTCGTCCTCCAGCACGGCCAGCTCGGCCTCGGCCTCGCCCAGGCTGATGGTGGAGTGGATGTCGCTGGCCGTGGAGCTGACCGTGCTCATGCCCGCCTCGCTGCGGAAGGAGCTCTGCTTGCTGCGCTGGCTGGCCAGGCTGCTCTTGGACTCGGACTTGCGCAGCTTCAGCCCGCTCAGCAACGAGCGCCGGAACAACCCCTTCTTCTTGCTCTTGAGGGCCTCGGAGTCGCTGTGGGCCACCAGCACGAAGCCGCCCCGCGCCACGGCCGGGCTGCCCGCCACGGCCAGGGAGGCGTCCGGGTGCAGCGCCGCGCCATTGCTGTGCTCGCTGCGCAGGGAGTTGATGGAAGTCCTCAGGGGCGAGCGGATGACGGCCGCCATGCCGTAGGGGACGCTCTGCCGCACGCCATAGCCTTGGCGCATGCCACCGACCCACTGGCCCTGGTACGTGCCTGGAAAGAGCAAGGAGTGGGGTGAGCGTGAGGTCTGCAGGGAAGGGGCTGGCTGCACCCCAGGAGGGGAGGGGAGGGGGCAGGCTGCACCCCAGGAGGGGAGGGGAGGGGGCAGGCTGCACCCCAGGAGGGGAGGGGAGGGGGCAGGCTGCACCCCAAGGAGGGGTGGGAAAGGAGATGAGAGGGAGACCCCCACCCCAGGCCAGGACCCAGGGGACTTGAGGATGTCACACACTGGAAGCGGCCAATTGCCGCGTGACTCCACCCAGGGGGCGTGATCCACAGAGAGGGCACGGCAGGGGCTGTGGGGCTGTGGAGGGGTTGCTGGGCAGGGAGTGGTCCCCTAAAGAGGGCAGAGCTTGTCTGGAACCGTGAAGGAAAGCAAGGGTTTGGGGCCTCAAAGCAAAGATGGCTGTTGTGTGGGTTTCCGTGCGGCTCCGACGGCATCCTGTGTCCCACACACGGGGTGAGGACAGCTAGCACGCACTCCTCTCACAGCCTTCAGGCTCCTGACCCTGCCAGGACCCACACGCCTCACACAGCAGGCATGCCAGCACCAACCTGGCCACAGGCCCGTCAGCTACTGGACATGAGACCGGAGCCCAAGGCAAGGCCATCTCCCAGCCCTGCAGATGCTCCGCCTGCCAACAGCCTCGTGGGGGGACAGGAGGGCCCCATGTCCCGTGGACGCTTGGCCTGCCAACAGCCTGGACAGGGAGGCTCCCTGTCCCATGGATACTCGGCCTGCCAACAGCCTGGACAGGGAGGCCCAGGAGCTGGGCGGGACCTGCTGCAGCTCTTGCTGAATGTGAATTAAACACCAAGAGTCTGCACGTGGGAGCACAGCTCCCCTGGGTCACCTCAAATAGGACCCGGCCACGCTGGGCATCCCTTCTCCAGAGGGACAGGGCTGGGATCTGGCAGGACAGCCTGGCCTAGCCCTCTAGCCACCTGTCTGCCTCCTCACCTCCAAGCTGGCCCCTTCCTCAACACAGCCCACCTGGGGGGTGAGACCCCAACCATGCATAGCCCAGAGACTCCAGTCCGTGCCTCAGCAGCAGCCCAACCCCATCTCCACAGCTCTGCTCACACACGGCTCCTGCTTCACCCCAAACAGCCACCCTCACACACCAGGCCCTCTGCCATCCAAGCTCCATCACCTGGGCACACAGGGCAGGGGCTCCTGGGCATGGTGGCTGCATTGTCCTGCCTGGCTAGGTAACATGCATTCTTGAGGGGACACACACGCCTGGTGTTGTGGGCACCTTACTGCCCATGCCCCACGTGGCCCACCCCTGGCACAGCAGCCCCAGGGAGGTCAGAGGGTGGAGCCAAGCGAGAGGAGGTGCTCCGGCCTGGGGCAAGGTCTGGGGCTGAGAAGTCACCCCAGCAGTGAGGGGTCCCCAGGCATCCACGCTGCTCCCTGGGGTGCCTCAACCCCCAGGCCACTGCTGAGCCCAAGCAGTGAAGTGCTGGTTTCCAGCAGGTGCCAGGGCAGGGCACAGGCAGTAGGGCTGAGCTCTGGAACCTTCTCTTTAAATAGACCATGAACCTCATCCCTGTCGTGCTGGGACGCGAGTGGCAGCATGTGACAGTGTCTGCATCAATGTTTCATGGGCACGGGAATTGCCTGGTTCCGGCTGCAGGCGGCTCGGCCACCCTCACCTGTGGGCACCCAGTTCCACACCTGTTCCCTGAGTGGGCGGCAAGGGGGTGGGGCGTAGCTCTGAGAAGAACCGGCCCGGTCCAGAGGCAGGAGGTGGCTGTGCTTTCGTTGGTTTGTTTTTAGGTTTCTGGGAAACTGCTGCTGGACAATGACCCCCTCTCCATCCTCACCAGCCCAGAGGGCAGCACGCTGAGGTGCCAGCTGGAACTGAGGCGGGCTGAGCTGCATTCCTCCCAGACCCATGCCGGGCCCTGGTCTCCCCTGCCCGGGAGCAGCAGGAATGGTCCCTCACTCACAGCTCACACCGCATCCACGGGCAAAGGGGAGCCCACCGCCTGCACCCTCTGCAACCCTGTGCCCTGCCAATACACTGCGGCCCTGTATACACGCGGGCTGCCCTGTCTCTGGCCTGGGACCCTGGAACGTCAGGAACACACAGGTGGGTGTGGAAGACTAGCCACAGCTGAGGACACAGAGAATGGCTCCTCTTCCCTCCTGCAGGACCCTCGGCACAGCGCCAGGAAATCCCCCCAAGGGGCTGTGGAGGGAGGCTCAGCAGGAGGGGGCAGCCCCTCAGAGTCCCAGCCAGAGCGCCCCACAGCCCTCAGGAACAAACAGCCAAGAGCCGCTCGCAGACCCCGACACCCACTTAAATGTGGCGGTTAGATTCAGCATCGTAAAAATGCGGGAGGGCGTGGGGCATACAGGAAATCGGAGCCAGCAGCCTCAGGGAGGACACGGTGTCCACACGGCCAGCGGGGAGGGAAGGAGGATGCTGCGGGGTCCACTGAGAAACCCTAGAACATCTCCCAGAGCCTGGAGCAACAGAACAGGTGCAGTGAGGGGAGACGCAGGGACCCGTCCCGGAGCTCCGGGGGCTCCTGGGCTCTCACGTCCAGCAGGCACTAATGGGGTGCAGCCTGAGTCCTGAGTCTGGGCATCTGGTCCGGGGGCTCCCGGCACTCCGGCATAGCACAGCCCAGGACGCTGCAGATGGGAGAGCCAAGACCCAGAGGGCCGCCAGCAAAGGGCACGCGGACAGCACAGGTGTTCTGAAGGGGTGGGAGAGGAGGGGCTCTGACCCCCAAATCCTCGCTCCAACATGATTTGGTCCTTGCTTTTCCACATGGACAAGGCTCAGAGAGGGTGCCAGCCTGTAGAGGCGGGCAGGGTCGGGTGGCGAGCCCAGCCAGTTAGCCATACTCTGCTCTCGCGGTGACACTGCTCCAAGCCTGAGTCTGCTGCAGACTGGCCAGGACAGCCAACGGGAGAGGACCGGGTGGCATGGAGGGGTGGCCACACACCAGCCCCATGCCCAGCGGGCCCCCAGGGCAGGGGAAGGGCAGCTCCTAGCACAGAGCATGTGGCACGTCCCATGCCCATCCGCCGGCTGCTCAGAGCAGAAGGGGTTCTGAAGGAGCAGTGCATGTGGTCGCCAGCACTGGGAGGCGTGCACGGCCTTCCAGAGGCAGCCAGCCCCAAAACTGTACTGGGAGGGGTGGCCATGCCTGTGGCCTCCACACATGGGCTTCCTGGCAATGACCCCCACTTCTGCTCTCCACCCTCCACTCGGCAACCCTGATTTTAGACTAAGTTTTTAAAAAGATTTATTTATTTTTATTACAAAGTCAGATATATAGAGAGGAGGAGAGATAGAGAAGATCTTCTGTCCGATGATTCACTCCCCAAGTGAGCGCAACGGCTGATGCTGTGCCAATCCGGAGCCAGAAGCCAGGAATCTCCTCCAGGTCTCCCACGTGGGTGCAGGGTCCCAAGGCCTTGGGCCGTCCTCCACTGCTTTCCTGGGCCACAGGCAGGGAGCTGGATGGGAAGTGGGGCTGCTGGGATATGAACCAGTGCCCATATGGGATCCCGGCACATCCAAGGTGAGGACTTTAGCCGCTAGGCCATGCTGCCGGGCCCCGATTTTAAACTAACTTTAAAAAATAACCACCTTTGGGCCTGATGTAGTCACCTAGCAGCTAAAGTCCTCATCTTAAATGTGCTGGAATTCCATATAGGTACAGGTTTGTGTCCCAGCAGCCCACTTCCCATCCAGTTCCCTGCTTGTGGCCTGGGAAAGCAGTGGAGGACGGCCCAAAGCCTTGGGACCCTGCACCTGTGTGGGAGACCTGGAAGAGGCTCCTGGCTCCTGGCTTCAGATAGGCTCAGCTCCAGCCTTTGAGGCCACTTGGAGAGTGAATCAACGGACGGAAGATCTTCCTCTCTGTCTCTCCTCCTCTCTGTGTAATAAATAAATAAATCTTAAAAAAGCACCCTCTTTAAGTTGACAGACAGAAGGACCAGCCCCTCACCCACTGCCTGCTCCCGTGGCACACTGGTCACTCACCGTGCCTCGCTCTGACTGAGTCACTCACAGGGGACACCTGGGGCCACTCGTCTCCACGCCAGCCACCCATCTTTCTCCTGACCCTTGCAGCTGCACCACTGAGACCACCATCTGTGGACTCGCAGGCTGAGGGGCTGGCTGGCGGCTCCTCTCAAGGTCCACCTTGGCCTCCTCACTCTGCAGCTGCTCCTCCCAGGGACCCCTTCTCACACCCGCAGTTGGGCAGCTGGGAGTCAGGGCCCACTTTTCCATGTGATGCCAATCATAGGACGAGGAGGACGCATCTAAACCCACCGCAGGCGCCAGCATTTCCCAGCAATCCTGTAGCACTGCAGCGCAGACCTGGGGAGAGGCCAGGGGCCCTCGGGCCACGCCAACAGTCGTGAACCACGCTGCCACGGGCCACGCCAGTGGTCGGGGACCACACTGCCACGGGCCACGCCAGCGATCGGAGACCACACTGCCACGGGCCACACCAGCGGTCGGGGACCACACTGCCACGGGCCACGCCAGCAGTCGGGAACTGAGGCTACCACGGCATGCCTGAAGGACACAGGACTCCCATTACCAAGGTGGCACTGCAGTGTTATTCTCCAAGGCCACATATCCAACCTCCCCCACAGCCACAGGCTGCATCCCACCTGGCAACGAGAAAGCCCCCCAACACCTTGCTGGCGCACTCACAGATGGGCACACACCTGCCCAACATCCCAACTTCAAAACCATCCGTGCAGTACCCACTCCAGCTGTGGGGACTGCCCTGCGCACACGCCGGCGGGATGGCTCTCTGCTGCCCCATAACCTCGGGGACAGGGACGTGGCTCCCCCAGCACCTCGCCGCCTGTCCCCTCCTCCCTCATGCACCCAGGATGTGACAGCAGCAGAAGCACTGCGGAGACACAGCTCACTGAGCACAGGTCTATCCCGAGGCCTCCTTCAGGAGGCGGCTCAGGGGCACGGCCCCTGGCATCCTGCTGGCTGCCC